TACTACACTGAAGGTATGCCCTGATTGCAGTGGTGCTGCACTGAAGGTATGCCTTGATTGCAGTGTTGGTACACTGAAGGTATGCCCTGACGACAGTGGTGCTACACTGAAGGTATGCCCTGACGACAGTGGTTCTACACTGAAGGTATGCCCTGATTGCAGTGTTGCTACACTGAAGGTATGCCCTGATTGCAGTGGTGCTACACTGAAGGTATGCCCTGACGACAGTGGTGCTACACTAAAGGTATGCCCTGATTGCAGTGGTGCTACACTGAAGGTACGCCCTGACGGAAGTGTTGCTACACTGAAAGTAAGCCCTGATTGCAGTGGTGCTACACTGAAGGTATGCCCTGACGGCAGTGGTGCTACACTGAAGGTATGCCCTGACGGCAGTGGTGCTACACTGAAGGTATGCCCTGACGGCAGTGGTGCTGCACTGAAGGTATGCCCTGACGACAGTGTTGCTACACTGAAGGTATGCCTTGGCGGCAGTGGTGCTACACTGAAGGTATGCCCTGATGGCAATTGTGCTACACTGAAGGTATGCCCTGATTGCAGTGGTGCTACACTGAAGGTATGCCCTGATTGCAGTGTTGCTACACTGAAGGTATGCCCTGATTGCAGTGGTGCTCGCTGAAGGTATGCCCTGATTGCAGTGGTGCTACACTGAAGGTATGCCCTGACGGCAGTGGTACTACACTGAAGGTATGCCCTGACGGCAGTGGTGCTCCACTGAAGGTATGCCCTGACGGCAGTGGTGCTACACTGAAGGTATGCCCTGATTGCAGTGTTGCTACACTGAAGGTATGCCCTGACGACAGTGGTGCTACACTGAAGGTATGCCCTGATTGCAGTGGTGCTACACTGAAGGTATGCCCTGATTGCAGTGTTGCTACACTGAAGGTATGCCCTGACGACAGTGGTGCTACACTGAAGGTATGCCCTGATTGCAGTGGTGCTACACTGAAGGTGCCCTGATTGCAGTGGTGCTACACTGAAGGTATGCCCTGACGGCAATTGTGCTACACTGAAGGTATGCCCTGATTGCAGTGGTGCTACACTGAAGGTATGCTCTGACGGTAGTGGTACTACACTGAAGGTATGCCCTCATTGCAGTGGTGCTACACTGAAGGTATGCCCTGATTGCAGTGGTGCTACACTGAAGGTATGCCCTGGTTGTAGTGGTGCTACACTGAAGGTATGCCCTGACGGCAGTGGTGCTACACTGAAGGTATGCCCTGACGGCAGTGGTGCTACATTGAAGGCATGCCCTGATTGCAGTGGTACTACACTGAAGGTATGCCCTGATTGCAGTGGTGCTACACTGAAGGTATGCCCTGACTGCAGTGGTGCTACACTGAAGGTATGCCTTGATTGCAGTGTTGCTACACTGAAGGTATGCCCTGATTTTAGTGGTGCTACATTGAAGGTATGCCCTGACGGCAGTGGTGCTACACTGAAGGTATGCCCTGACGGCAGTGGTGCTACTCTGAAGGTAAGCTCTGACGGCAGTGTTGCTACACTGAAGGTATGCCCTGATTGCAATGGTGCTACTCTGAAGGTATGCCCTGATGGCAGTGGTGCTACACTGAAGGTATGCCCTGATTGCAGTGTTGCTACACTGAAGGTATGCTCTGACGGCAGTGGTACTACACTGAAGGTATGCCCTGATTGCAGTGGTGCTACACTGAAGGTATGCCCTGATTGCAGTGGTGCTACACTGAAGGTATGCCCTGATTGCAGTGTTGCTACACTGAAGGTATGCCCTGATTGCAGTGATACTACACTGAAGGTATGCCCTGATTGCAGTGGTGCTGCACTGAAGGTATGCCTTGATTGCAGTGTTGGTACACTGAAGGTATGCCCTGACGACAGTGGTGCTACACTGAAGGTATGCCCTGACGACAGTGGTTCTACACTGAAGGTATGCCCTGATTGCAGTGTTGCTACACTGAAGGTATGCCCTGATTGCAGTGGTGCTACACTGAAGGTATGCCCTGACGACAGTGGTGCTACACTAAAGGTATGCCCTGATTGCAGTGGTGCTACACTGAAGGTATGCCCTGACGGAAGTGTTGCTACACTGAAAGTAAGCCCTGATTGCAGTGGTGCTACACTGAAGGTATGCCCTGACGGCAGTGGTGCTACACTGAAGGTATGCCCTGACGGCAGTGGTGCTACACTGAAGGTATGCCCTGACGGCAGTGGTGCTGCACTGAAGGTATGCCCTGACGACAGTGTTGCTACACTGAAGGTATGCCTTGGCGGCAGTGGTGCTACACTGAAGGTATGCCCTGATGGCAATTGTGCTACACTGCAGGTATTCCCTGATTGCAGTGGTGCTACACTGAAGGTATGCCCTGATTGCAGTGTTGCTACACTGAAGGTATGCCCTGATTGCAGTGGTGCTCGCTGAAGGTATGCCCTGATTGCAGTGGTGCTACACTGAAGGTATGCCCTGACGGCAGTGGTACTACACTGAAGGTATGCCCTGACGGCAGTGGTGCTCCACTGAAGGTATGCCCTGACGGCAGTGGTGCTACACTGAAGGTATGCCCTGATTGCAGTGTTGCTACACTGAAGGTATGCCCTGACGACAGTGGTGCTACACTGAAGGTATGCCCTGATTGCAGTGGTGCTACACTGAAGGTATGCCCTGATTGCAGTGTTGCTACACTGAAGGTATGGCTTGACGACAGTGGTGCTACACTGAAGGTATGCCCTGATTGCAGTGGTGCTACACTGAAGGTGCCCTGATTGCAGTGGTGCTACACTGAAGGTATGCCCTGACGGCAATTGTGCTACACTGAAGGTATGCCCTGATTGCAGTGGTGCTACACTGAAGGTATGCTCTGACGGTAGTGGTACTACACTGAAGGTATGCCCTCATTGCAGTGGTGCTACACTGAAGGTATGCCCTGATTGCAGTGGTGCTACACTGAAGGTATGCCCTGGTTGTAGTGGTGCTACACTGAAGGTATGCCCTGACGGCAGTGGTGCTACACTGAAGGTATGCCCTGACGGCAGTGGTGCTACATTGAAGGCATGCCCTGATTGCAGTGGTACTACACTGAAGGTATGCCCTGATTGCAGTGGTGCTACACTGAAGGTATGCCCTGACTGCAGTGGTGCTACACTGAAGGTATGCCTTGATTGCAGTGTTGCTACACTGAAGGTATGCCCTGATTTTAGTGGTGCTACATTGAAGGTATGCCCTGACGGCAGTGGTGCTACACTGAAGGTATGCCCTGACGGCAGTGGTGCTACTCTGAAGGTAAGCTCTGACGGCAGTGTTGCTACACTGAAGGTATGCCCTGATTGCAATGGTGCTACTCTGAAGGTATGCCCTGATGGCAGTGGTGCTACACTGAAGGTATGCCCTGATTGCAGTGTTGCTACACTGAAGGTATGCTCTGACGGCAGTGGTACTACACTGAAGGTATGCCCTGATTGCAGTGGTGCTACACTGAAGGTATGCCCTGATTGCAGTGGTGCTACACTGAAGGTATGCCCTGATTGCAGTGTTGCTACACTGAAGGTATGCCCTGATTGCAGTGATACTACACTGAAGGTATGCCCTGATTGCAGTGGTGCTGCACTGAAGGTATGCCTTGATTGCAGTGTTGGTACACTGAAGGTATGCCCTGACGACAGTGGTGCTACACTGAAGGTATGCCCTGACGACAGTGGTTCTACACTGAAGGTATGCCCTGATTGCAGTGTTGCTACACTGAAGGTATGCCCTGATTGCAGTGGTGCTACACTGAAGGTATGCCCTGACGACAGTGGTGCTACACTAAAGGTATGCCCTGATTGCAGTGGTGCTACACTGAAGGTATGCCCTGACGGAAGTGTTGCTACACTGAAAGTAAGCCCTGATTGCAGTGGTGCTACACTGAAGGTATGCCCTGACGGCAGTGGTGCTACACTGAAGGTATGCCCTGACGGCAGTGGTGCTACACTGAAGGTATGCCCTGACGGCAGTGGTGCTGCACTGAAGGTATGCCCTGACGACAGTGTTGCTACACTGAAGGTATGCCTTGGCGGCAGTGGTGCTACACTGAAGGTATGCCCTGATGGCAATTGTGCTACACTGCAGGTATTCCCTGATTGCAGTGGTGCTACACTGAAGGTATGCCCTGATTGCAGTGTTGCTACACTGAAGGTATGCCCTGATTGCAGTGGTGCTCGCTGAAGGTATGCCCTGATTGCAGTGGTGCTACACTGAAGGTATGCCCTGACGGCAGTGGTACTACACTGAAGGTATGCCCTGACGGCAGTGGTGCTCCACTGAAGGTATGCCCTGACGGCAGTGGTGCTACACTGAAGGTATGCCCTGATTGCAGTGTTGCTACACTGAAGGTATGCCCTGACGACAGTGGTGCTACACTGAAGGTATGCCCTGATTGCAGTGGTGCTACACTGAAGGTATGCCCTGATTGCAGTGTTGCTACACTGAAGGTATGCCCTGACGACAGTGGTGCTACACTGAAGGTATGCCCTGATTGCAGTGGTGCTACACTGAAGGTGCCCTGATTGCAGTGGTGCTACACTGAAGGTATGCCCTGACGGCAATTGTGCTACACTGAAGGTATGCCCTGATTGCAGTGGTGCTACACTGAAGGTATGCTCTGACGGTAGTGGTACTACACTGAAGGTATGCCCTCATTGCAGTGGTGCTACACTGAAGGTATGCCCTGATTGCAGTGGTGCTACACTGAAGGTATGCCCTGGTTGTAGTGGTGCTACACTGAAGGTATGCCCTGACGGCAGTGGTGCTACACTGAAGGTATGCCCTGACGGCAGTGGTGCTACACTGAAGGTATGCTCTGACGGTAGTGGTACTACACTGAAGGTATGCCCTCATTGCAGTGTTGCTACACTGAAGGTATGCCCTCATTGTAGTGGTACTACACTGAAGGTATGCCCTGATTGCAGTGTTGCTACACTGAAGGTATGCCCTGGTTGTAGTGGTGCTACACTGAAGGTATGCCCTGATTGCAGTGGTGCTACACTGAAGGTATGCCCTGATTGCAGTGGTGCTACACTGAAGGTATGCCCTGATTGCAGTGGTGCTACACTGAAGGTATGCCCTGACGGCAATTGTGCTACACTGAAGGTATGCCCTGATTGCAGTGGTGCTACACTGCAGATATGCCCTGATTGCAGTGGTACTACACTGAAGGTATGCCCTGATTGCAGTGTTGCTACACTGAAGGTATGCCCTGGTTGTAGTGGTGCTACACTGAAGGTATGCCCTGGTTGTAGTGGTGCTACACTGAAGGTATGCCCTGATTGCAGTGGTGCTACACTGAAGGTATGCCCTGATTGCAGTGGTGCTACACTGAAGGTATGCCCTGATTGCAGTGGTGCTACACTGAAGGTATGCCCTGACGGCAATTGTGCTACACTGAAGGTATGCCCTGATTGCAGTGGTGCTACACTGAAGATATGCCCTGATTGCAGTGGTGCTACACTGAAGATATGCCCTGATGGCAGTGGTGCTACAATGAAGGTATGCCCTGACGGCAGTGGTGCTACACTGAAGGTATGCCCTGATTGCAGTGTTGCTACATTGAAGGTATGCCCTGATTGCAGTGGTACTACACTGAAGGTATGCCTTGATTGCAGTGTTGCTACACTGAAAGTATGCCCTGATTTTAGTGGTGCTACATTGAAGGTATGCCCTGACGGCAGTGGTGCTACACTGAAGGTATGCCCTGACGGCAGTGGTGCTACATTGAAGGTATGCCCTGATTGCAGTGGTACTACACTGAAGGTATGCCCTGATTGCAGTGGTGCTACACTGAAGGTATGCCCTGACTGCAGTGGTGCTACACTGAAGGTATGCCTTGATTGCAGTGTTGGTACACTGAAGGTATGCCCTGATTTTAGTGGTGCTACATTGAAGGTATGCCCTGACGGCAGTGGTGCTACACTGAAGGTATGCCCTGACGGCAGTGGTGCTACTCTGAAGGTAAGCTCTGACGGCAGTGTTGCTACACTGAAGGTATGCCCTGATTGCAATGGTGCTACTCTGAAGGTATGCCCTGATGGCAGTGGTGCTACACTGAAGGTATGCCCTGATTGCAGTGTTGCTACACTGAAGGTATGCTCTGACGGCAGTGGTACTACACTGAAGGTATGCCCTGATTGCAGTGGTGCTACACTGAAGGTATGCCCTGATTGCAGTGGTGCTACACTGAAGGTATGCCCTGATTGCAGTGTTGCTACACTGAAGGTATGCCCTGATTGCAGTGATACTACACTGAAGGTATGCCCTGATTGCAGTGGTGCTGCACTGAAGGTATGCCTTGATTGCAGTGTTGCTACACTGAAGGTATGCCCTGACGACAGTGGTGCTACACTGAAGGTATGCCCTGACGACAGTGGTTCTACACTGAAGGTATGCCCTGATTGCAGTGTTGCTACACTGAAGGTATGCCCTGATTGCAGTGGTGCTACACTGAAGGTATGCCCTGACGACAGTGGTGCTACACTAAAGGTATGCCCTGATTGCAGTGGTGCTACACTGAAGGTATGCCCTGACGGAAGTGTTGCTACACTGAAAGTAAGCCCTGATTGCAGTGGTGCTACACTGAAGGTATGCCCTGACGGCAGTGGTGCTACACTGAAGGTATGCCCTGACGGCAGTGGTGCTACACTGAAGGTATGCCCTGATTGCAGTGGTGCTACACTGAAGGTATGCCCTGACGGCAGTTTTGCTACACTGAAGGTTTGCCCTGACGACAGTGTTGCTACACTGAAGGTATGCCCTGACGGCAGTGGTACTACACTGAAGGTATGCCCTGACGGGTATGCTCAGTGGAACTGCAAAATAGCATGTTCTTATTGTAATGACACTATGGCACTCACCTATTTTGCTGGTGAACGTAACGTCCCGCGATGTAAGGCCTGGTCTAACAGACACCACCAGTACAATCTGTGACATCTAGGCTGACTTGGAGCCTTGACATACTATTGTACACTACCTGTCAGCTGGCTATCACCTGGGCCATCCCACGTGGCTTCAGATACTGCGCTACATCAGCCTGGCGGGGAGGGTAGGGGGACATGTACATGCGTTACGGGGGCAGCAAGAGGGGAGGGTGGTGACACTCATCCCAACGGATGCATCTGGTCTCAGACAGGGTGTACCATGGTTAGATAAGCTGGTAGTACATCGGGACACACAGAAAAGCACGGCCATGGTCAGTAGAGTGGCATTATATCGGATCCACGTTTATAAACACGTTTAGCTTTCATTGGGGACTGGTAATTTATTATAAGGGCAGGGGTGGTGAGAGTAAGTGGGAGGTCATAAAAAAAATAAAACGTGGGGCGTCACCAAAAGTTATCACAACTATAGGGGTTTCTGTTCTGTTCTATCTTTTCAAAAGATATTAATTTGAACATTATTTACGGACTGATGATTTATCAAAGGGAAGGGGGTGTTGCTCACGAAAAAATGTATTGGGGTGACATAAAATGGGGCTGGGGTCATCAGGTCTTCAGCAACCCATGCTTGCTGTAAAAGGCGACTGTGCTTGTCGTAAGAGACGACTAACGGGATCTAATGGTCAGGCTGGCTGACTTGGTTGATGCATGTCATCGTATCCCAATTGCGTGGATCAATGCTCATGATGTAAATCATTGGATTGTCTGGTCAGTCAGAAATATTCAAGCTTTATCAAGCCGTCTCGTATAAAATCGAGTCTGGGTGAGGCAAATCAAGGCTCGACGTAATGAACATCGATCCAGTACACGCTGCTGGGGTATGATGACACCTATTCACGTGTTTGTTTGTTTGTTTGTTTGTTTGTTGTTTAACGCCGCACTCAACAATATTCCAGCTATATGACGGCGGTCTGTAAATAATCGAGTCTAGATCAGACAATCCAGTGATTGACATCATGAACATCTATCCACGCAAGTGGGATCGATGACATGCATCAACCAAGTCAGCGAACCTGACCACCCGATCCCGTTAGTCGCCTCTTACGACAAGCATGGTTTGCTGAAGACCAATTCTGACCAGAATCTTCACGGGTAGAATTCCTTTTATACCGCTACGTACTGTATTTTTTCACTATAAGGTATCCCGATGTCGTCTTATTCGTTCCGGTATTTCTTGCATTTAGATGGTTTATAAGTTGGATTCAAACCAACTCATCGGTATTGACTGGCAATATAAGCTCGGGGGGGGGGGGGGGGGGGGGGGGGGGGATATTGGGTGGGGCCTTGGACCTTCGGACCCCCCCCCCCCCCCCCCAATATCCATCAATCACACTGCCTTGGTCTTACATTCTGAGTCACGACAAGCAGCCGTCGTTAATGCTTTTACCTCATACACTGCGGTTAATAAACATGGACTGACGTCAAAACCGTCGAATAACTTCCCAAGGCCTCAACTATCCCATTTCGCGATTGCCCTTAGTTTAGAAATATGCGACATGTTTGTATCACGAGAGACTGTTTACGACGACACTCCAGCTGTGAGTTACTGGCTGATTGTGACTTATACAAACGATCTATATCGGAGCAAAGTACAGGGACTGTCACCACTATACACCTCACCTTGCACATAAAGCTGTCACTGGAGGATTCTCCCGTGTAGTGTGACGACTTGACAGCAGGGAATAACACATCTTCCCGAGGCAAGTGAGTTAACTGACTATAAAAGTCCAGTTTCCACCCTTGCCGAACTAGGCTGGTATTATGGAGTTATATTTTGGCTGGACTAACGAGTCTATGCATAGTCCAATCAAAATCGCGCACCGAAATCCAAATCCGGTTCGAAAACTGTCGTGCCGATTTCTGTCGAGTACAGGATTTGCAAAACATGTGAACCACCAACTCGTTGTCAGCAGATATTTTCCAAATCATTTCATGTTTTTAATTAAGGGCTCACGTGATGTGATGCATTTCGTGATGTAAGACCCGTTTTATCATAATATAGATCTTGATTATCGATCAGATCGTCCTGACTCGGCGCCACCGTTTTGTGTGAAGCAAACGCAAGTGATGCGAGAGGTGAAATCTGATTGGTCCATAGGAGAGGTTTAGAAGGGACATAACTGGTAATAGCCACTGGTGGCGCTATGATCAAGCCCGGTAATTCCAGCCTAGTTCGGCAAGGGTGGAAACTGGACTTTTAATGTCAGTTAACTCTCCTGCCTCGGGAAGATGGGAATAACACGACTCTGTATACAAGTGGGAATGTTGGGTTTAACATAGTCTGTCATACAGACCCTGAATAAAAAATATCCAATACAGCCCATGCAAGTCTATAATGTTTGGCAAGTCTAGATTACTGCAGTATCAGGAAGAAAGTCTCCTGCCTCCTTCTTATTATATTTTATAACTATAATTTAACAATTGTTTTTTTCTGAAAGATATCTTCATTTCAGAGACTAGATGTTAGTCTAGGTTTAACACTGGTGCCAGTCATTGTTCTGTGGTATGAAAGTGTATCAGTTTGTGGGAGAAAAGCCTGACGTGATACAGGTCTCGGGCGTTCGCCATTTTAATGGCACCTAGGCACAAACCAAAAATGATATTCTGGGATTCGAACCTACGATATATCTCGGCAACAAAAGAAGCACAAATAAACGGCACGTTTCGGAGTTCCTACTTAAGCGACTCGTGTTGAGAAATGAGATATTACTTTTGGAACAACTGCTTTTGAGTAGTAGAACAGGGTGTTTTGCAAAACATGTGATTTGGGATTTAACCGAAATCTTATATAAAAATGGTGCCGCCTCCGTGGTCTTGTGGTAGAGCGTCCGCCCGGAGAGCGGAAGGTCCGGGGTTCGATCCCCGGCCGCGTCATACCAAAAGACGTTAAAAGATGGTACTTGTTGTTACCCTGTCTTGCGCTCGGCATTAAGGGGCTAAAACAAGGACTGGTCGGCTCGGAGTCAGTATACTGTGTCTGAGTGGGGTATTCATGTTAAACTGCGGCATGGTATCTCAGTGAGCTAGCACTATAAATCGGCATCAGTCCGGACTAGTACAAGCAGCCACACACACACACGTGCATGCACGTCGCTATATAAGTGCAATAATCTTGGACGCGACGTTAAACCCAATTTCACCTTATACAAAAATGTATTAGTTACCAAATGTGAGTAATTCTCATGGCTGTGTGTGTTTAACATGTTGTTAAGAAACAGTTGGAGGGTAAGCGAGCCGGAGTGAGTGAGTAACGTTTAACGCCGTATTCAGCAATATTACAACCATTTGACGTCGAGGACAACAGAAATGGGATCCATACATTACTGAGAATTGAACCCGGATCTTCGGCTTGAACAACTGTGCTACCCTGGGTTTCTTCAGGTTAAGGAATTTCGAAATTCGAATGTGCATTGCAAAATATCAACTTGGACCCCTTCTTTCGAAATGTCGGGGGCACGGGTGGCCCAGTCGTCTAAGGCGCCGCGATTCGCTGTGCAGAGTTGCGTCCCTTGGGCACGCCCGAAACCTATGATTGTGGGTTCGAATCCCGGTTCGCCCCGATTATGTTTCTAGGTTTGTCAGCACCATACTTGTGCTCGTGGGTTTCACCGAAGTGGTAAACGTCTGAGACATGCATCACTTCGGGCTTTCCTCCCACATTAAGCTGACACGCCGCGATATAACTGGAATACTGTTAAAAGCGGCGTTAAACCCAACTCACTCACTCACTCACTCACTCACTCTTTCGAAATTTGCGAGTCCGCCCTTGACAAAATAGACAAAAAAATCGGTACTGTCGATGCGTGATAAGTTGCCCAAGTAAACCGTCCTGTTCAGTACCAGGTTGGTGCTTCGTCACAATAAACATAGTATGGGCCAATGAGAGCAGTCATATTAAAGGGAACAGCTGCAGAAATCACCTGATCAGCTGATCATGACTAAGCGTGACATATTTGAAATAAACAACGGCAAACTGGCTGGGAGAAGTTATCAATACTTGTATATCAGTTGAATTTACTCTTCGCCCGTATTCGTGGTTATCGGGTCAGCTACAGCATAATTAACCTAAATATAACCAGCTGGACTTGCATTGACCTGATGGGTATCGATCAGGTCAATTCTCTGGACAATGATATTTGGAAAACATTATTTTCGATAAATTATTAACTACTGAAATAGGGCTTGGACGGGTAACTCGGGTTCCCGGGTCGGGTGGGTACTGAGTAGGACCCGGTACCCACAGGACTATCCGGACTTGTGGTTAGTCACGTACTATATTGTTTAATGACAAAAATATCTAGAACTCTATGGTAACACTACAAGTCAATAATGTTAGCATTTCTTTCTGACTATGCACACATTTCTTCTGATTTTTCATATG